TTCTCTGAATTTCGTTTATGGTTGATTACAAGGAAGTATGTAATACTCACAATAAAGTTCGGTCCAGTAGACAGTCTTTGACATGCGTGCAACTCTCTCATACATAACTCTGAAGTGAGATGGTCATCGGTGGACTCGTCTCGTACTCCCCACCTCATGTCTACAACTTGGAACTCGTAACCTCTCTCCTGGCAGAACTTCTTGATACGAGGGTATACTTTGACCATAAGAGTGTTTCGTTCTAYTGACGTGTCTGCAASAAGTAGGAAAATATAAATTATACGTAAGATAYAGAGWAGAGGAATGGTTATTAAAATTACTTTTACCTGTGAAAGTGGAACTTGTGAATATTCTYACAACTTTGACATTTTCTGGATAATCGATGTCTAGATCACCCACCAGAGCCTTTTGCAGCTTGCTGCTGTAATCTTGAAGAGTAATGGCRGCRTTTTCKTGTACTTCATTATCATCGTCATCTTCACTATGWTGTTCGTCCTCTTCGTCTTGSTCGCTATTTTCTGACTCGTGTTCTTCGTCGGCTTCTTCCTCTTCTTCTTCTTCCTCTTCTTCTTCCTCTTTTTCTTCTTCCTCGTCTTCCTCTTGCTCCTTCTCGCTCTCCTTTTCTTCTTCACTACTACTGGCCCAGTAAACCCGTTCGTCTTCACTCTCTTCCTTTTCAGGCTCCTCCTCTTCTTCTATGCTGTTTTTCCTCAATTTCTAGACAAATATATTGGTTTAAAAGATAGGAATACTCGACATAGTAGGGCAGTGTAAATGTTAGTAAAAAGCAAATAACATGAAATAAGTACATTCAATGGGGCATGAAAGAATTTTTAATCGAAAGATTTATATAGTGAGATGCGAAAGTGTTTATTCAACTTAATACCTTTTCTATTGATGSAAGCACCTTTCTTCTTTTCGATGAGTATACAGATCCCATTTTTTATCGCCCCCTGAAACAATAATTCATATTGAGCAAGACAATCGTTGCTATTGATTTGTTAATTGTGTCTTGTTTCAGGTCCAAACTACATTCAATGATTGCTGCATTACATGGGCGCATATCTTGCAGAGGCTGGCATACATGAATCGTGAGACGTTKTATAATGGTAAATCAGTCAATAACTTACTGTCTTTGTGAACAAGCCGTATGGGGTATTTCTCTGACGCTATTTGAATATGAACCCTAAGAAAAGTTTAACGCAAATACCGTGACTTTCATGTGTTCTATATTTTAACGTCTGAGACCAAAAAATATCAAGATGATATCGTGTAAGTGATAAATTAATCAACATGAGTTTTCGAGAGTTTATTTTAAGCTTATTTGATCAGAGCTCATTATCAACACTTACGTGACATACTTGCAAATCAACTCCAATATATCAAATGGATTGGTAAAAGATTACCACGGATCTGTGACTAGATATGCTGGTTACACTCTCTACGACTAATATACTATATATTGCAAATACTATATATTGCAACAAAACGAGATGAAAGTGGGAAATCTATCATCTTTAAATTATTATTATTGCATACGACATGATATTTTGCGACTTACTTTGTGAGAACAATAATTCAACGGAGACTTAATCGAAAAYCTTGCATCTTCCAATACAGAATATGTCGATTTAGATATCGATAAAAGGTATCCTGCCCGTGAACTATTGTGTTGTTGAAGGTTTTTAAAGCGTGGTGTTTTATTGAGCTACCAAAGTTTATCATCGGATGTTGTGAAGTGAAGAAAGTGAATCAGAAAATGCTTAAATGACATGCGATGAAAACAAAACAGAAGAAGGGAATAAAAGTAATCGAATTCTTATGGGAAAATATTGTAAAATGATAAAATGGTGATTGGTTCCAAAGGATTTTCTTATGTTTGAATTTTATAGACATGATTTACATATGCAGCTGAATATTTACAGTTCTTATCGAACTGAGAAACAGACAAAAAAAAAGAAATGAAACCGCATTCAAAACGAATAATTATACTGTACAAACCGTATAAAACCAGGGTCTGTTCTCAATGATTTCCCAAAATCAGACGAAGTTTCAATTCCCTTGTGCTTCGATTTGAGTTGTGTTACTGGTCACGCTTGATGTTGTCAAGCAGTATGCTAGTAACATTTACATAAGTAGCTGTGACGTCATAGAGTCGGAGTCAAGCAGAGCATGGGAATATATTGAAGGGTTGTCTATTAGTTATCGAGATATAGAAAGAAATAGACGATAAATGTATAAAAAATATATATAATATAAATATAAAAAATATTAAGATGATATCGTGTAAGTGATAAATTTATCAACATGAGTTTTCGAGAGTTTATTTTAAGCTTATTTGATCAGAGCTCATTATCAACACTTATGTGACATACTTGTATAGCAACTCCTATATATCCAATGAATTGGTAAAAGATTATCACGGATCTGTGACTAGATATGCCGGCAGACTCGTACCCAGTCGTTACTCCTTATTTTTCGCAACGCTCGAAGAGGTTGATGGTTGATGCAATGCGCGTCTCTAAAAAAAAGCCGGAGAAGCGACTGGGTACGAGTCTGATATGCCGGTCACACTCTCTGCGACAAATATACTATATATTGAAGCAAAACGAGAGGAAGTTGGGAAATMTGTCACCTTTAAACAATTGAATTGGATAAGACATGATATTTTGCGCCTTAYTTTGTGAGAACAATAATTCAACAAAGACTTTAGAAAACCTTGCATCTCCCAATAGACAAGCTGTCGATTTRATGTCGATGAAAGGTATCCTGYYAGTAAACTATTGTGTTCTTGAAGGTTTTATTAAAAGCGTTGTGTKTTATTGAGCTACCAAAGTTCATCATCGGATATTGTAAWGTGAAGAAAGTGAATCAGAAAATGCTTGAATGACATGCGATGAAAACAAAACAGAAGAAGGGAATAAAGATAATCGATTTCTTATGAAAAAATGGTAAAATGATAAAATCGTGATCGGTTCCAAAGGATTTTCTTATATTTGAATTTTATAAGATTGATTTACATATGCAGTTGAACTTTACAGTTCTTATCGAACTGAGAAACAAAAAAAAGAAAAACGAAATGAAACCGCATTCAAACTGAATAATTATACTGTACAAACCTGATAAAACCAGGGTCTATTCTCAATGTTTTCCCAAAAATCAGACGAAGTTTTCTTCCCTTAATTGTGCTTCGATTTGAGGTGTGTTTTAGTGTTCACGCTTAATGTTGTCAAGCAGTATGCTAGTAACATTTACATAGGTAGCCGTGACGTCATAAAGTCGGAGTCAAGCAGAGCATGGGAATACTTGAAGGCTTGTTTATCAGGCACCGAGAGAAATAAATAAATGATAAACATATAGTTTTATTCCAATGCGTCTCATTAGATTATAACTCCCTTCCTAAATAACACTGATTCAGGGATTAAAACATTCGTGTATGGTTTAGAAATTTGTCAAACTCTCCCCGACCTCTTTGTTTCGTGAATGATTACATTCTTTAGCTTCATTCAAATAGAACATAGCTGGATTTTAACATTAACATGCATGCCTCATTGAAGACTCCTTTATGAAGAGATCGATTTATTGTTTTGACAAATATGGACTGATATAAGAAGTACATAATCCGGTAGATATGATAGAAATGCAGCAAGGCCAGTAAAACTTACTCTTATGTTATGCATTGGAGTTATGAGTATAAAAGTCTTTCAAAATTCTTTATTATGGAAATTAAGTGATTTCTTTGTTGTGATTGTACAAGAATTCCTGTTAGCTTTATATAATAAATCACGATATTTACCTCACCCTCTCAATGGGTTGTTTCTTATAAAGTGTGAAAGACCAAATATTGAATCACATTTTGTATATTAAACGTTAGAGTGGTCATGTACTATATATTAAAAAAGTTTGCGAACAAAAAGTACAAAATTTACAAAAGCACTTACAGTACTATNCATGAAATCGTACATAAAAACTGTAAAAAACCATAAAGGTGCATTTATGACTCTCTTTGCCGTAAATAGACATGTCCGACACGATTATTTAGAACTATTCTCACCCTGCTATTATGTATTAACTATGAGTAAGGTTAATTGAAAGCACAACAATACCTGGGGAATGTTGTTGGTAAAGTTATTCAAGTCACATTTATCCAACCCAAGAGGCAAAGATGGCTGGTAAAATGATGTTGTTACAAAATCCCCACAAATGATGTGCAAACCTTCCAAGGGTGTGATAGGCAGGAGTGTGTATTATAATCAGAATTATTCAGGGGCGGTTCTAGCAACTTATAATGGGGGATGCTTTTGTCAGTAACATAATGAGCTAAAAACTAAGTATAACAGATGAAATGGTCTTGATAGTGGCAGACACATGTTGTGTATGCTACTCTTCTTCTGGATAAAAGTACAACAGGAGTACAGGAGTGTAAACAGTAGGAAAAAAAACGTTTATACTGATATACAAAAAAATTACGTCATCCAAAAAGAGGGGGTGCGTCCRCACCCAAAKCACCTCSYCTGGATCCGCCCCTGTTATTATTACTATACTATTATTGTTATTATTATGATTGTACAAAATATGTCAGTTTTGGAGTGTAAATTACTTTGCTACATTTTATAACGGTTTCACAGGAAGTTTCCACTTTCCACTTTATCTTTATCCAATGAATCTTTCTCTGTGGCAGGCCCAGAATTGTCAACCATGGTTTGGATTTCTACAGGAAGCCCATGAAATACAGAGGGAGGCAATTTCTTTTCAGAAGCAACCTGGCCAGGCATGTGTAATTTCATTATCATCAGGTTGGGGTTTTCMCCAACAGCCATCACTAAACGATCATCAATAACATGGGCAATATTAGCATAGCCATCAGTAGTGAGGGAWGTGATCTTGTGGCCATTGTGGACATTCCAGCAGTGGAATGTGTTGGTTGTTTGCTCTCTGGCAATGACTATGTCTCCATTTGATGTTAGGAAGATATCTGTTAACTGGCCACTAGTAATTCGKCGCAGAACAGTGCCTTTGGAAATGTCCCACACATCAATACCTCCTGACCCAAGACATGTGACTGCAATGTTGGCCTCTAGATTGATGGCTGCGTTGCTGGCTGTTTCATAACTGTCACTTTCGGAATTCAGTAGCTTGAGTATCATCTTTCCAGAATTGAGATCCCAAAGGTATGGGCTATTCCATCCTACAAGAGTCACCAAATACTTTCCATCGTTAGATATCTTGCCATTGTAAAGAGAGAGTGCTTGTCCTTCCAGGGTGAGAACTTTATGTTGCTTGGTAACTGTATCGTAAACATACATTGGCTTTGTTGTTCCCTCTTTATGATCGCTGCTATTGCCTGTTACCGAGGCAACAACAACTTTACCATTTGGGCTGACTAGTAGCTCCTCAAACTTGTCTTTGTTTCCTAACTTTACAAGATCCACTACCTTCCCTGTATTGATGTCCCAGATCTTCAGGTTGTTACGTTTCCTAGTAAAAGATTGCATTTTGATTGAATAGCAATAAATGTATAGAACATCATAGAAATAATCTGGACAATTTTTMAGAATTGGAAATTCACGGGACTTTACCCCTTGAAAATTAGAAAAAAATCGAAACCTTTTTGGTTGACAGTCTTTGAATGAAATTTGAACTACCAGAATGCTTTTACCATTTTCTTAATTTGTATTGTAATTAGTACCTATTGTTTTTCTCATCTCTAAAGGGAATACAAATGTGAATAACAAAGGAAATATACAGAGCATGCTGGTTCAAGCTGCTGGTAATTATTAAGTGAAGCCATAATGCATATTGCCTATTGTGTACTGATTGGCATTATGCAGAAAACCTCAAAATGTTAGCCTAATACATACCTTGTAAGTGAAAGTGTAAGTAAATGTTAGCCTAATACATACCTTGTAAGTGATATCATATGTTGGTTGTCAATCATTCCAAATGCTTGCATTCTTTTACAAGCACCGCCCTCTAGAGTCTTTTCAATCTTTCCTTCTTTTAGGTTAACGACCTTATAATGTGGAAGTTTCTCATCATGGATAAGTCCAACAAAACGAGTGCAATCTTGGGTGAGTCGAATGACTGATGGATAGACTTGCATGCCTGAAAAAAAGTAATATATATAAATGGGAATTATTTCACTGTTTCTTAGTACTGAGTGTTTTTGAGTTTACTTAAAAAAATCAAAATAGAGTATAATTAAGTGTACTGTTTTTTTATAGACATAACTTAAAAATTGCAAAGAAATGCCCATAATTCTTAGAAATTATGCAGGTTCTTTCACAATTTTGATAAAACGACAATTTTATAGGGTCATAGTAATTTTAGGGCATCATTTTTCATACTGCAAATCTGTGATCTTAAATGTGACCTTATCTTCTTGATGATATTATTCATATTGCCACAGGAAGGTCATGTACATATGCGATATTTAATCGTCAGTTTGGACTGAATAGAGAGTTTAAGCATCACGTTTACGGCAAACGGCTAACGGCAGAGAAGAACCAATGACCTAAGAAATGCCTGACCTTATGCTTTAGGTAGTCATTGGAAAGAGCGACTTTTCACGATTATGGCAAACTCAAAATAATCCACTCTCGCGTTGACGGAAACTGTTGTAAACCCCTAAAAAGCAGGTCACGTGATCTTTTCTTCCGTTTGCAGTTTGCCGTGAACGTCATGCTTAGGCTCTCTAATAACAATGAAACAACCCGAACCTTACCTGAAGTCTGTCGAACTTTCTGTTCGGTACAGATATCCCAAGCAGATAGACAATTCTTCATCTGCTTGTAAATAACGGCAATTGCATGTCTGTTATCGCATCCGGGCTGTACCATCGTTACTTGGTCTGCTACCTTGTASCCTTGATGTTCTGAAACAGTCGTATCCTCTTTGTTTTCGTCATCTCCTTCACGTGTCCTGTCAAACACTCTTAGTATGAAATCTTGGCCAATGGCTAGGATTATGTCACCATTGCGAGTGATAATCTTTGTTCGGAAAACGGCGCTGCGAAGACAATTTTCTGACTTGCCCGTCTCCATGTCTGTGACGCAAATTTCAAACATGTCGATGCTCAAGACTTTCTTTCCGTCGTCAGTGACTTGTATGGCTCCCATTCCCTGAGTCCTTTTGAATGTGGTTATTTCACGCACAAGGTTTGCTGTCACAAGATCGTAGATGCGA